ATTACTGAGTGCTAATAAATTAGTCGAAATCGTCGCGCAAAACGACGGAGCCATAGATACAAAAGTTGAAGTTGAAATTTAAAAAACTTGTGATAACAATAACGGTAACGAAAATTAGATTGACGTCATTGACTTTATATGATTGACGTGGAATAAAATTTGTTGATTTTTTTTATAATAATGCCTAGTCTATTTGAAATCAGTTGTTTTTATCTCCATATTGTTTTCCATATTTTAAGATTTTTTGCCCATATTATATAATACATGTTTTGTAGTTTATACTGCATATTTATCCGAGTCCTAATGGTCTCGAATGGACAATTCTAGACCATGGTCGTTGCAATGCGTCCAAAACATCGAGGTAAAAAATTTTTTTTTATACACGACTAAGTCCCGAGTTTAAAATAACTCACTTTTACGTAAACATTTGTTATATTGCTCGTTTTATTCACGAATTCGTCTAAGAACGTATTTGTGGATTTTCTTATGGTTTATTATTTATTAATAACGAAAACCTAAAATATGGTATACTACCATTCCTACTACTCCATTGGTTCAGCGACCTTAAATGTGTCTTGGCCTCTGAAATGAGATGACGCCACTTTCTTCGGTCCTGTGCAATCACTCGCCAAATGTTGACTTGTGTCCGGTACCACGCCGTCGCTCCAGCGGTATCTTCGACCAACCGGTCTTCGTTCCGATCCTCTTCCAATTTTTCTAAATGGCCGCGCCAGCGAAGTCTGCGCTTTGGTTTCGCCGTTATTGTTGGACTGGGCGACGAGCTTCTCTACTTTGGCGTCAGTGCGGAGCTACAATTCTCCTGTAGGACTGGTCCTAATATTTTCCTGAGAACCTTTCTCTCTGCAATATGGTGTATTTGTCTGTATGGTGTATATTTTTAGAGCTCCTTGTGAAAGAGTTCGTCCAGGGAAGTACTGCCACCTTACCTATTTCTGCCGCCAAGCAGTAACGTCAGCATTACTGTGTTCCGGTTTTGAAGGGTAAGGGTGCTGAATAAATTACAGGCACATGGGACTTGTCAACTTACGTCTCAGGGTGATCGGCGCAGTGGCAGTGCTCCTCAGGTCATCGGGATCTAAAGCAATGAGTGGTACTGTAATTGCACAGGCGTGTAGCTTACCATTAGACGCACGTCTTGCTCGTGCTGTCACTTGATATTAGAAAAAAAAAAAATATTTATTATATATATGTATGAAATATTTTTCTTTTTTTCAAAATTTGAGAAATGTGCAAAATTTGTTTCAAAAAGGAATTTATTTGTCTAAAATAAATTAGGATCTATATTTGAAATAGGAGATAGGGATTGCCCTATCTCCTATTTCATTATATTTTTATTTTCATTACATTAGTATTACCCATTTGTTGTTAGTTTCCCCGAAAAAATATTTTTCTATTGTCAAATTACAAAGGGTTCGAAATTACAAACATGTAAAATGGTGTGAAACTTACACAATATACTTACTTTGTTGTACCGCTATATTTCAATTTATGAGTTTTCTTTTTGTAAAAATTTTAATAAAATAAAAATAAAAACATAAAAAAATGTGTATATATTAAACATTTTCTGCTTACTCTAATATTACTTTACTGCGATACAACATGAGTTCAACGATAAAGGTCACACATCAGAAATTACTGTGTATTCTAATTATGACATGTCTCAATCCAAGGTCTTATTTCGTACAGCATATAGTTGAAAATGAATCAAATGAGGGGGATTTTACTATGAACGATTTATACGTGCTTTTTGAACGGAAGGTGACCGGTCTACCGTGAATTTGTTGTCATTGTAGCCCATATTTCGATGACTGTGTAAAGATTCAATGATATTTCGTGATGACAATAAAAATTTATGCACCACATTTGATTATGAGCAGTATTTGGGTATGTGTTAAGAGTGCAATGAGAAATTCAAACTGATTACATGCCAGGTGTATTATTTTGCATTTCAACAATTAAGGGCGTTCGCGCACCAATTAGTAATATAAATAAAAATTATAAATCACAAACAATTATAGAAAATAACATAATTATGAAAACAGAAAAAACTAAAAGATTTAAGTTATAAAAAATACTTCAGAAGCATTGACTTACAAATAAATGGACGACGGGTCTAATACAAAAACCACGAAAAAAATGTCCCAAGTCAACCTATTTAAACGTAGTGACATGTAAAGGAATATGAAAAAGCTAAAACGTTGAATTTAAATTGTAATGTCATCGCAGTACTGTCTAATTTTGCTTGCTTCGCTGTCAGTCGAACAAACGAAGACTAAAGCGTGAATGACGGTCTGTTTACGATTTTAACGCCCTATAAGTTCGGACACATTTTAGCGCGGACCCGACGTCCATATGATTGGAAGTCAATGTTCAGAAGCGATACTACAAATTTTTTCCATACTTTTTCAATTTTTTTTTCCAACGGTTCATTTTGCTTGGGTCGAGCGACAGGGACACTGGTTTTAATTCAGAATTTAATTTTTTACAAACTACATTAAAACCATTTGAATAATGTAGTATATCGTATAGTATACGTGTTCTATTTAGTTGAGTTGATAAAAAAAAAAATCATCGGTACAATGTAAAGTATCTAATTGAATAAAGCGGTTTTGAGGTTAGTTTGTGTTTTTTTTCTATCGTGAACATTTGTAGGAATCGTGTTTTCACAATAATCAGTGTACATCTTCAATTTTACTATCTATTTTTTCCAAAGTGAATGATTTTACATTTTCACTGTTATGTGGAGTCAACCAAAGCTATTTGAGGTCGTATCGAGTCTTAAGTAATAAAAAGCTACAGCAAAAAAGCTGTTAAAACCAAATATCGGTAACAAATGCATAAAGGATAATGTCCATTACTGCCCTAATCTTACTTGGCATGTCCATCAAATTCATATATTTCATTATCCTACATTAATTAAAATTACATGTTTGATAATAGTCTAGAACGATGAGATCTCAGCATCTCGGAATCAGCAGTTTGTTTTAAATGAAAATAATAATAATATTTTTTTTTATTTCTGTTCCATTTCCGCTCCAGTATTAAAGGCGGCGAAAGGTGACAGATTAAAATTTTTATTTAATGTGTTCAGTATTGCCATATTTGTGAGTTGCAATGTACCTTATTTGAAGAGAAAATTTTTCGAAGGGGTCACAACTAGGTGGAAGTGCTTCCCTACTAAAGCGCAGCTGGGTATTTTTCTCCCAATATAGGTTAGAAGCCGTGGTAGCCATTAGACATAACTAAAGCAGAGGATCGTGGGTTCGAATCCGGGCCCGCACCTCTGAGTTTCTCGGAATTTATGTGGTCTATTTCTGATTTGAAATTTACCATGAGGTTTTCGGTGAAGAAAACAAAGTAATGAAGCTTGCACATTGAAGAACTATGGCCTAAACCCTCGTCTGAAAGGAGATCCATGCCCATGCAGTTGATGATGATAGGTTAGGAAGGCAAAGTAGCTTTTTTATTGCTAAATATATAAAAATCCGCTGCTTTAAATGAAAATCAAGGCGTGGAATCAGAATCTAGGTCTGATGTGCTTTAAAATGCGCCATGTGTAGATTATGGACATGTCAGTTTAAGGTTAGGGCATGCCTTCATATTGCATCGGTCATGGTCCTTTGTAAGGTTTGTTGACTCTATTTGTAGCTCAGTTGGTAGAGCTGTTGCCCTAGATCGAAGGAAATTTGTATTCGATGTTTCTGTTAATAATTGTAACAAATTACAGTGCGACCGCCGAAAGAAAGCAATCTTGACAGTATATGATCCGTCGGCTGATGTAACTTTGAAGCGGCGAACAATTTACGATAAAAATACTTTTATCTTTAAAATGCACTACAGGTATTAAATTTAACTAAAATTCATATTATAACGTCAACCTGTAAGATACGGCCTTTTTACTAAATACTTTTTGTTTGAAAAAACCAGGGCTTTATAGGAATACATCACTGTTTTTATTTTATGCCTTTATTCTCATAGTATAGGGTATTCCCAAGTTTAAGACCAGGCTGTTGGTGTGGTTGTACAATATATAGATATTAAAATATTATGATAATTAATTAATAATATGTCATTATCGATAATGGTACATAAGCTAGCAGTGGAATGTATGTGAAGTCTAGGCTAACGATAAGAAAATTTCCACTTTCTTAGTGTAATTCTAACAGTGTTTTGTCAATCAGAGGCTCGCTCATGGTCCCGTAAATCGACGGGGAACTAAGATCGGTTAACTTAACTGTTCAACCGATTTAACTGTTTGGTTTAAATCTAATACATACTCTTTGTGCTGATGTATTCGTTGAATTAACTGGAGATTCGTTTTTAGAGCATTACGTTTTTACATAATCTAAATGAAATAATAGTTTGTGATCTAAATCCTTAAAGGAGACCCATGCTCAGTACCAGTCATGTTCAGTACCAGTAGGAAGTTTGTGGATTGATAATATATGGAGGAACTTAAAGTAACATTTATTTTGTCACACGGCTACACAATATAAGGCATATTTTAATGTTGGTATTGCATAGAAAGAGAAAAAAATAAACAACAGAATAAATGTAAAAAAATAACTATTTGTATTTTTGATCAATCATTTAAATTGTATAATTACTAATAATAAATTACAATTTTGTTACCTTTAAACTTCTTTTGAAACAAGCGCCATCTAGTATCGAGTAGTAGTATTTCTAACTTAAGCAAGCAGCGCTGAGAAGGGAAAATCCTACATAACGAGCATTCAAGACGCGTTGCAGACAGTACGTCAATGTGCTCATAGATGGCGCTGTATACAAACTAAGCGTTGATGTCTTTTGTATTGAAAAGTTGAAAGTTACACATTTTTTATTTTTGTTAAGAACTTTATTTTATTGTTATTATTTATTCCGATTATATGACATATAAGTAAATAAATTTAAATTAAAAATTGAAGAGAATGTGATATCAAAATCAAAAAGTTAATATGCAATTATTTTTTATTTTTCAGGAGCGGTCGGTTAGCTGTCGAGGGTTGGTGCTGCGCACGCGCCATGCCAGCAGCGGGGGCAGCAGGCGCCGGGCGCGCCAACAACGGCGCGTTGGCGCTTCACTATGCCGCCGCGAGGGGTTGTCTAGACTGCGTGCGATTGCTTGCTAACACTACTCCAGACGTTAGGTGAGTCACATACAATAAACCATGTAGTTAAGCTAGTATAATATGATCTTCAATCTTTTGTAATCCTGTGAATACTCATGCGTTTGGCCGAATTGAAACTTTATGATTAGTGTAGTGTCCTCTCCTGCAAGTAATAGCGTATTGGTATTTGGTTCGCCTACGCACCACACCTCCGGGTTGACGGTCGAATACTGATAGACCCCATCCACACCCGCGCATGTGACGTATGTGCTCGAGACAAATCATAGACAATCCACATACACTACAATTAATTCGCACTCATTGTCGACGTAGTGCTGGTATCCAGTGACGCAGGTTTCCACTTGGACATCAACGTATAAGCCTGATGTCGTATTCTACGACTACTACTAACCGTGCAAGGTCTTCTTTCGATTAATTTGGTTAAGTTAGTTTATATGGGGTATCGTCATTATGCTGCCGCCGCTGTGGATCAAGCACGTTGACGATATTTTACACGAAACTCATGTTTAGTATGGACGCGGTGCTGATACTTGATAAACAGTATGTACCAACAAACATAAGGTCCGATTGTTATTTTATTTTATTTACGTGCAAGTATCGCAGGTACTTAGTACATCTATACGTATAAGAACAACATACTTTCTTTTATCATATGGTATGATGTGATACCATACTGGTCTGACACTTAGAGATCCTGGGTTTGATTTCCGGGCCAGGATAAATATTTGTATGGCCTACATTTATCTCGTGAGTTTGGGTGTAATTTCTTGTAGTTGTCTATGCGTGTGTCGATGGCAACCGCGATACAGGATTTCCCTAGTGCGGGGCTATAGTGCCTTGATAAGCCGAAAAGCGCTATCTCAATCGGAGTAAGTTTTGAGAAAATCGAATTTTTGTAAATTGTATGTTGTATTGTTGTAATTTTTGAAGATATTAAAACTTATTTATCCGTATTTTTGACTAATAGCGTTATTGACGTACCTAAATTATACATAAATTGTACTATTATACATATTTTGTGAGATACCGCTATTTTGATTATAAAGAAAGCCGCCAAATCTATTAGCAATTTAAGGAAAAATTGAGTATAAAAATACTTCTTAGTGCTTTTTAAAGGTTTTAAGTTAGATGGCGCTATTTCTATTATACCATTAGATGCGAAATTATTTTAGCTATTGAAAGGTATAAAAAAAAACTAAAAGGGTGTGTCTCAGAGATAGCGCCTTTCGGCTTAACTGGACAGTATAAGTGTGTGCGTTATTAGCTGTACAGATAATCGGTGCTGTTCAAGAAAAGTCGTTCAAATGCAAAATTGATCTTTTTTTTGATATATTATTGAGATTTATTCAGAAAATTTTATTGTAAATGGGATACCGAGCTTTTTATGGGTTTGTTTAATCACATGACAACATTGGTGTGGTCTACTATTCGTCAACTGTGCGCGGCAGACTCCTGATGAATTGGATACTTTTGAGATTTTCTTCTTGAGTCGTCTCCTATCGGAGGTTCAAAATCATGGCAATCCTGACTTTCGAGGCTGGCGCTCTAAAGATCGAGGTGGTGCTGCAGTCGAACCATTCCCTCAAATTTTTTAACCAGGAGTGCCGCTTTTTTCCTGAACTTCGTTTTCCAGCGATTTTGCTTGTATAAGGAGTAATTTGTATTGTTGTTCCTCATGCTGTGGCTGAAGTTTTAGATACTTTTAGAGACGTGGCGCTATTTTCGAAAGCTATCTAATTCAAACATAGCTAAGAACTAAGAAGGGTTCGCTACGTGCTTGCGAATGCCGATCACGCGAACGACGTTAGTGCGAAAACGGTTGCTCGAAAGCTTTAATGCAAGACAGTTTATTTTAACAAACTGTCAGTTGCGCGAAAATCTAAGTCAAAGTAAAAGTTAAATAATTACTTATTCCATAGGTAAAATGTTTACACTTGAAAACGTCATTTTTTAAGCTACTGCTCGTTCATTGTGCCGACTTCCCTGAGAAGAACGAGCTAGAATCTCCAGGGATCGCACTTTTCTAATAAACTTAAATGCTACATTTTGAATCATATTTGTGTGGAATCTAGACTCATGTTGTCTTTCCATACATGTTTATCTAATACGTAGTCTACAATTTTGTAATATGACTTTTCGATTAAAATACTTTTAATGTAAGCTTTAAACTTAGGTAATGGTAATCTTAATATATGCTCCGGAATTTTATTGTAAAAACGTATACAGTTCCCCATAAAAGAATCGTGTACGTTTGGTGCCATAGGTTTCAACTTAGTTCTAAGGTTAATATTATGGATATCTTCTTTCTTAACGAAGTGATGTATATTTTTATGGACATATAAAAAGCGAATAACGATAGCACGAAGATAGACTTGCTAAAGCTGGAAAGCGCGAATGGTTAATCGTGTGATGGTCCATCTGAGTTTACTCAAGTTTAATTGCGTGAAATATAGTAGTGTCTAAAAAAGGAAGTTTCATGAATAGAAAAAAATATAATGGAATAAGTTTATTTACCAGAACACAGTATTTAAACAGATCTTGAGTAAAATTAGGTACATTATAATCAAATGTTAATGCAATTTCACATTTGTATCTACAATGACACAAATCAGTTTGCGTTTCGAATTAATATCAATTGGTATTTCTAACTTCTAAATATTCTTTATTACTGTAAAAGCAATGTGTCAAAAGCCATTTTGTCAATTGTGATTTAAAAGTAAGTCCTTGTAGTGATTTCATTACATTAGATAAATTATTTAAAAAAAATTATAAATATATTGAAGCAGTTATTCTTATAAACGAGATTGTGTCAATTTATTTTCATTTTAAATAATCTTTGATATCATATATACAGTTCACATAATAAGTCAAATAATTTCTTTTTAAATATGGTTAAGGGTAAGTCTGCGATCGCTGCAGGCAAAGCATTATATATCTTTATGGACATGTAATAGCAATTCCTAGAAAAGTAGTTTTATGGGAGGGACCATCAAGCGGTTGGGATGTCTAGTTAAAAAAGTACATACTTCACGTTTCCTAGTAAATAGGGCCAATTTTTTTTAACAAACATGCATACTTCAAATACGTACACAGCGGGAAGCGTTAGAATTGTTAGCTTTTTAAAATGAAATGAAAACATTATAGCGATTAAATGGTAATCTAAAGCAACTCCATTTTTATAAAACATTATAGAAGGAAAGACCGAAGGGCGGTAAGGTAAGGGAAGATGAACGACTATTGACACACATCAAATAAAAAGATAAATAAGAACCTTCCTTATTTTTTTACCAGCTACCGTATTCTCGTACGATTACCGGTCCCACATGATCGCACAACCTGCAAGTTACTGACCAAGAAGAAGCATATTATCTATTTATTATCGTATGCATTATCTTTTTGCAACAATAACTGTCCAGTCACGATTGCTAACGGACACTTTACTGTTGTAACGTGCAACTGATTGCTTTAACTTGATAGGGGTTTGTTGGTTATGTTGTGTTACGTACACAGATGGGCAGTGGGTTAGTCAATCCGCCCGGTATTTTACCCAGAGCCGGGTGTTAAAACTGTGGGCGGAAACGAGGAATACGGAGTTACGAACGGTTACCATGACTGCCACGCAGAGATTCCCGGCCCGGGAGAAATATTTCTATGGCCTATATTTATTTCTCTCGTGAGTTTGGGTGTAATTTGTGGTTTTCTATGTGTGTGTCCATGGCACCCGCGACTCAGGATTTTGCCTAGTGCGGGGTTATGTTGAGTGTGTGCGTTATTAAAAAAGATAATAATAAAAAAATAATGAAATTAAATGGTATTTGGTCATATAACATGAAAAAATTAAAAGTAAAAAAATATTGAATAACACGGAGACACAAAGTATGTTGAACTGAGTTAAACAAAAGCCGGGCAGGGACACAAGTTTCGAATTACTTAAAACGTACTGTACACGCTTCTATTTGCCATTCCCTAGGTTCAAACAAAAACTTTAAACTTCTCCGTATTTGAATTACAAAAATCCGTGGTAGTGACTCGTTTAGCTCTTGCAGGTAGTCTCGATCTAATACCTTTAAATTAAAAAATATTTAATATTGTAGTGATAAATGTGTTCAAATGTATACTTACAAAGAGCAGCCCCTAGAGTTACCTACTTATTCTTCTCTTAGGGGAATCTGCCTTACGAATGAGCAGTGGAGTTTAATCAGTATGACGACTTCAAGAAATAACCATTAATTGACTTTAACTTTGACTAAAACATAGATCCAACCATTGTTTATAGTTTATGCCAATGGTACTCTAAACATCTTTTTTTAAAAATCAAATAAATTTTTCTCACATGTATACTTATACTGAGCGTTTTTGTGTACTTATTACCTTTAAGTAACGATATGTTTTCTATTCAAATTAATTCATGATATCGAGTGTACCTCAATGTTTACCGAATCTACTTTTTTTAAACAAAAGACAAAGAAATAAAAAAAGCAAATAATTTTTTTGTTCAATCAAATTAAATCGGGGAAAAAATTTTAGTAACATATTTCTAGAATCAAATAGTCAAGGTAAAACATATTTTGTTGCGGAGAATGTAATTATATTTTATTTGCTATTGCGCGAATGAAGGTAAACAGAAGGCATTAACATTAACGAAACATTCGAATTTTTCCTTTATTAAGTAATCTCACTTGAACGAGGTCGTGAACAGGAAAAGGAAATAACACATATTTTTCAAATTCTTGGCTCTATAAAAGACCTGCCACACTAAATTTATTTATTAATAGAATCATTTGTCCTGCAGAAACTTGCGGTTAGGGTAATTTACAATCTGGGCCCCAGAGTGTCTTTGAGAGATAAGTTTAAAGAGATGAACATTCTTACACTAGCATCACAGTACATTCTCATCTCTCGTCTCGATACAGGGTACTAAAAAAATCGACGTCAAAAGTCATTCATCTTCTAGTTGGCCACCCGTAGAGGTGGAATATTTTCTTTAAATTTAAGTGGGACCACTCCTGAGGTACCCT